TGTAAAGCAGTTAAATTAATCAATAAAGTACTTTTGGCAAAACTTTAAACAACTATATGCTTTATATAACAGTTCATCCAAGGACGACATTTTGGCAACATCATAAATAAATTATTTATTGATTTATTTACTTATTTAAATTATATTATTTTTTTATTTTTTATACATTTTTTCATAATTAATAAAAAAAAATCATGTTATACCTAAACAATATCTTTCTTACAAATCACAGAAATCTGCCACAATTCATCGGAGATTTTGCTTTCGGTGGTTTCATTCTCGAACCCACCAAACCACCAAATTTTATTACAGCATTCATTTATTTAAATATTACTATAAAACATAAATTTTATTTTATCTATCAATTATTTCATATTTTTACTTCAATTATATTCTTTATTTTAGTTGTTCATCCAAATATTATTAATTTTATAAAATGTCACATCAAAACCAAAAATAAAAGAAAATGTTCTTAATAATTAAATACATTTTACCTAATCTTTGAAGACTGACTACATATAGCTAGTGAATGTGAGTTAAGATAAAATGCTTAATCATATGCCTAGTGCATTGGAGTTGAAAAAAATGAGTTATACTAAGCATTTTGACTAACAAACATTATATACCTAGTGGGTTAGAGATGCTCACAGCCAATCATTTCAATTAGCTTAATTTATTTTGGATAACTAATAAATTTTAAGGAAAATGCTTGACTCTAAATAATTTATTAAATTTTCTATCAAAACTCTCACATAAATATAGAATCTACACAAACCTACATATGTGTGAATCTCACACCCAATTGAGAGATTTGGTTAGATAACTCAAATTTAAACCTACATACAGAACATTACTTTTATTTTAGTTTATTTATCTGCCTATTGCTTTTATCACTGAGGCCTCGTTTGGCAAATAGCTTTTTTAGCCAAAAAAGTTACTAAAAAAATTAAAAAGCCAACAACCTATACCAAAAAGTCAAAGATTTCATTTTCTCTCTATTTTTTCCACATTTTTTCATAAAAAGCCAAAAAGTAATCCCAAACATACTATTTTTTTTTGCATCAAAATTTTAGCCAAAAAATCAAAAAGTTACTAAAAAAACCTATTCCCAAACGAAGCCTAAATTTTAAAAGTGAGCATCTTTAAGTACGCTTGAGTTTCTTAATTTGCTTTTTTGAATTTTAGGTTTGCTAATTTAATCACTCTGTTTGGTTTGAAAATTTTAAAAACTAGACTTAAAATGTAGGGATCAAATTATTCAAATTAAAATAAAGGGACTAAGTGAAATTTGGGTCAAACTATAGAGTCAAAGTGTAATTAGCCAAAAAAATTAAGCAATGATATACATAGATAAAATTCATACAAAATTTATGTATATAATGGTGGTGGTGGAATAAAGGTGGAGATAGAGGTGGTAGCATGGTAGTGGGGCGATGGCGACGGTGATGGTGGCGGTGGCCGTGATTATGATAGTGTAGTGGTGGAGGTGAGAGTGGTGATATTGGTAAAATTTTTGTCTAGCGTAGCAATGTGTTGCCTTCCAAGATTCATCTATTATGAAGGTCCAAACCTGATAATCTGAATCAGTACAAAGAGAATTCACAAGTATGCAACTAGTTTTATTGGAATCAACATCATTGTTACTGTTAATGTATATATTAGGTTTAAATATATTAGATTTAGATTTATCTCCTTGTATCTCTATCTCTCTCTCTCTGTATCTCCTTCTATACTTATCTAAGTTTGTGTTCAGCTTATAAATATAGGCTCTCCTATTGTACTCAATTCAATTCAATATACACTGATGCACAGTTTTCCTTTTCAGTCAACCATTCTAACATGGTATCAGAACTCTAGGTTCTACACTTATAGCCCTTTTATTTTCTCTTTGTGCTTAGTCCCGTACACAAGTGCTACTATAGCACTCATTCCACCACCTATACACTTTATTATCTCTGTTCCAGCACCAAACTAATCGAAATCTCCTCACGATTCCAACGGTACCGACCACATCACCAGAAACTCATTCGCGTGCTCCTACATTCTCGGCGCGTCTCCGCTTCCGCCACACTCTCTCACGCGCCATCACGCGCATTTCAGTTGCTTGCTCAGGTCAGCATCTGACGTCAGCCCTACACCCGTGTACGTCGTTCCTGCTGTTGTGCGCCGCGTGTACGTCGTCCTACTACTGTGCACTCCGCGTGTGCCGTCCTGCTACCGTGCACCCGCGTGCACCGTTTCTACTACTGTGCTCCGTGCACGCCTCTGTCACTACCGTGCGCCACGCACCTCTTATGCTAACGTACGCTGCGCACGCTGACGTCACTCCCTTCTTGCTGACGTCATCTTTTGGCCTATTAGGTGCATTTTTTGGCTATTTTTGGGCCAGTTAGCTGCTCTTTAGCTATTTTCAACATTCCAGATTCATTGGGACACTCTGTTTCACCCAGTTCTACTCCAACACTACTGGGCCCTCTTTGTGACTCATTCTTTGATCACTTCATGGATCATTTAGATAGTTCTCCTCTCTACGGTGGCTCTTCTGGATCTGCTGTTAGTCGACATGACTCTTCAATTCAGTTTGCTTCTGTTGCTGTTGCTGTTGCACCTGCCTCCTCTTCCATTCACAATGTTCCTGATATTAAAGCCATTATGCAAAAGGGCCTTTCCACTTCTGGTACACCTTCTACTACTATTTCAGTCACCCCAGGTACGTCTTCATGGTATTTTGATTCTGCTTGTTGCAATCATATGACCTCTGACCCTACAATGTTTTCTTCCACTACATCTCCTTCTAATTTACCTACCATTCATACTGTTGATGGTTTTCACATGCATGTTAGTCATGTAGGTCATATTTCTACCTCTAATGCTCTCTTCCTCACACTTATCTGATCCCTAATCTTACACTTAATTTTATCTATATTGGTCAACTCTATGATCTTGGTCTCACTATTCTAGTTTCTCTAACTGGTTGTGTTGTGCGCAGGATCCGAAGACGAACCAAACCCTTGGGATAGGTCGTAGACATGGACGTCTATACAAGCTCATCTACCTTCATATTCCCTCCTCCAGTACTTTCAATGTTGAGACTACTGCTTTTTGCTACACCAGGCAATAAGAGAGTCACCCAAGAAGAAACAGAATCCTGTAGTAGAACGGCGATCAGTAGGATATAAACAAGACTGCAAACTAGCTAACGATATAAGGTAGCATCAGACAATAAGTGACCGTCAAGAGGTGTGAGACGAATCTGAGGATCAACTGGGGTAGGAGCAGTCTTGCAATCGGTAAGACCAGCACGAGCCAAGAGATCAGAGGTATACTTGGCTTGAGTGAGAAAGTAACCAGAAGAATCATAAGAAATTTCCAAGCCGAGGAAGTAACTAAGCAACCCTAAATCTTTCATCTCAAATTGGCGACTGAGGAACTGTTTGAGACTAGAGATACCCACTGTGTCATCCTCGGTGATGATCATATCATCAACATAGAGAAGAAGAATAATAAGACTACGCTCTGTCTTGTGTATAAATAGAGCAGAATTATAGGCATTGGAAGAGAATACAAAGTCACTGATGGCAGAACTGAACTTGGCAAACCAGGCATGGGGAGCTTGTTTCAAACCATACAAAGCACGGCGAAGTTTACAAACCTTGGTGGATAGAACTAAAGAACTAGGAGGAGGCTGTAGATAAACTTCTTCAGTGAGATCGCCATTGAGAAAGGCATTCTTGACATCCATCTGACAAAGACTCCAACGGCGAGCAACAACAATGGCAAGTAGGCTACGAACTGAAGTAAGACGAGCAACAAGAGCAAATGTTTTCTCGTAATCAATCCCATTTTCTTGAGTAAACCCTCGAACCACAAGACGAGCTTTGTAACGCTCAATGGAACCATCAGAATGGGTTTTGATCTTGTAAACCCATTTGCAACTAACAACACTCTTGCCAGGTGGAAGGTCAACTACATCCCAGGTATGAGCTTTATCTAACGCTTGCAGTTCACCATTCATAGCTTGCTGCCAAAGAGGGTTAGACCAAGCCTCTTGATAGGAAGTAGGTTCATGAGAAGAAAAAGCAGTGGAACCAACAATGAAATCACGAAGAAGTACAGAAGGTTGTGTTACCCAAGTAGAATGACGAAAAGATACCTCTGGTGTAGAAGATGATGTAGTGGAATCAAGGGATGTATGAGGCTCATTGAGAAGTGGAGCAGGAACAGAAGCCGGCTCAGGATTAGAGAGTGGAGCAGCAGGACCAGGAGACGGAGCAGAATCCTCAGGATGGGTCGGAGTCATCATGTCAGAAATAATGTCTGTATCAAGCTCATCAAACAGAAGAGAGGGATCTGTAACGAATGGTGTAGTGAGAGAAGTGGACAAATGAAACTTAGATATAGAGGAGAACATTTTGTGTTCCCAGAATACTACATGACGAGAGACACGAAGACGACGAGAAAGAGGATCCCAACAACGATAACCTTTATGTTCAATCCCATACCACAAGAAGCAACACAAACGGGAGCGAGGTTCTAATTTGGTACGCTCATGTGGTTGAAGAAGAACAATACAAGCACATCCAAACATACGAAGACTAGTATAGGCAGGAGGTGTGCCATACAGACGCTCATATGGGGTTTGATTGTTGATGGTAGGGGCAGGAACACGGTTGATAGTATAGACTGCTGTGAGAGCAGCTTTTCCCCAAAAACGTTCAGGACATGAAGAAGAGATTAAAAGAGCACAAACAGTGTCGAGGATATGGCGATGTTTGCGCTCAGCATGACCATTTTGTTGGGAGGTACCAGGACAAGAATAATGAGAAAGCGTACCATTTTTGACGAATAAATTTCAAAAAATGAGTTTCTTTGTATTCCTAAGCATTATCAGCATGAAAAATTTTGATAGTGGAGGAAAACTGAGTTTTGACCATGTGAGAAAAATCATAGTATATTTTTTGTAACTCAGAACAAGATTTCATAAGAAATAACCAAGTAAAATGTCTGATGCTACCTTATATCGTCAGCTAGTTGGCAGTCTTGTCTATCTCACAATTACTCATCTAGACATTGCCTATGTTGTTCACATTGTCAGTCAGTTCATGGATGCTCCTCGCTCTCCGCACTATGATGCTCTCGTTCGCATTTTGCACTATCTCAAAGGAACTATGTTTCATGGTCTTCATTACTACGCACACTCATCTCTACAGTTACACGCATTTTCTGATGCAGATTGGGCAGGGGATCCTACTGATTACCGTTCTACTACAGGATTATGTTTCTTCTTGGGCGACTCTCTTATTGCCTGGCATAGCAAGAAGAAAACTCTTGTTGCCCGTTCTAGTACTGAGGCTGAGTATCGTGCTCTTGCTGACACTACTCAAGAACTTTTATGGCTTTGCTGGCTCCTTGCTGATATGGGTGTTTCTTCTCCTGGTGCCACTTCTCTCCATTGTGACAATCAAAGTGCCATTCAGATTGCTCACAATGATGTATTCCATGATCGCACCAAACATATTGAGATTGATTGTCATTTCATTCGACAACATGTTACACGTGGCACAGTTCATCTTCTTCTTATTTCTTCTGCTGATCAACCTGCTGATATTTTCACCGAGGCTCATCCCCTTAGTCGTTTCAGTGATCTAGTTTCCAAACTCAAGTTGGTTGATGCTTACCCACCTTGAGTTTGAGGGAGGCTGTTAATGTATATATTAGTTTTAGATATATTAGATTTAGATTTATCTCATTGTATCTCTATCTCTCTCTATCTCTATCTCCTTGTATCTCTATGTCTCTCTATCTCTATCTCTTTCTATACTTATCTAAGTTTGTGTTCAGCTATAAACACAGGCTCTCCTATTGTACTCAATTCAATTCAATATACACTGATACATAGTTTTCCTTTTCTTTCAACCATTCTAACAGTTACCAACATATATAAGCAGACTAAGATGATGTCGTGGAGCCATCTGACACCGCAACTCCTTTGCTAGGGTAAGTGAGTGTGGGATGGTTAAAAGGGAAGCCCCAAACTCAGAGCTATTTCTTTGTTTTCAGATTGCCCACAGAATTTAAATTGTTGGTATGATGATACCAATATTTTTCACACAACAACCAATTCTGCCACCAATGAAGGAAAGTAGTTGGCTCTCCACAAGTGAAATCCAACTCAAGAGAGGAACCATGCCAAATCTGTTGCGATGTTGGAATTCAAAAAAAGTATGTTCAAGTGTTTCTATATTGCCCTGGCATCTTGACCACTTCAGATCAACCTCGATTTCCCAATGTAGAAGAACCTATTTCACTACCAAGATGTTATGCAATCATTTCAAAATTAAAAGAGACCGTTTGGGTGGAACTTGTAGCTTCTAGATTTTATTCCAAAGAGATTACAAATCAGTGGCTGATGCAGAGAACTGAATGTTCCATACTACCGTCGTCATATACCCCGTTTTAACCGATTATACTTTATTATTATTTGGGCTCCAAATTAATTTGTCCTCCTCAGTAACACTTTGTTTCGATTGAGAGATTTGGTGAGAAAATAAATGGAGAGAATGAGATTTCTCATCAGTTGTTTGGATGGTCAATGAGGTGAGTAATGGAGAGAAATGAGAGAAATTGTGAGAAAACCAAATCACACCAAACTTGAGTCTTGTTTCTCACTAAAAGTGGTGAGATTTAGTGGGAAACCAAAACTACTCTTTTAATCATAATCCATCCAAACAAGAAGGTAAGAAATCACAATTATTTATTTCCTTTTCTCATCTCTCAATCCAAACAAGTGTAAGAGTCGGGATATGAATCCCCAATATATGAGAAATGCATGTTTTTGGAAACTCGAAGATCTAATTGCCAAGAACGACTTTCTTCATCAATGAATTGTGATAGCAAAAGTGATGAAAAATAACTAGAGAAATCTCTCTCTTGTAAAGGGTTATGAATTGATGGGATCCACTGGTCTTGTAGAGATTGATTGATTTTCCATTTCTTACCACCCATTTTAATCCAGATTTCAAAAGATTTCTACCACATAGAATACTTTTCAGCTCCAAGATGCATTATTACCTGCCCTAGCTGAGAGAAAATAATTGGAATGGCAGCACTTGCTCGTCAAAACTTTGGAGAAAAGAGAGTCCAAATTATTGATTATACGCCGGGCTTATTTGGCAAGCCAGACCTGATTAAAGCATCCTAAATTCCTGAAATCCAACCCCCCCAACACTCAGGAAGACACACATTAATCCATTTATGCCAATTAATACCTTTCTCTCGATTCGCTTGCAAAACAAATTTACAAGTAATAGTTGTAAGTTGTTTAAGAAAAAATCCCAAACTTTTAAAGAAAGACAGTATAAATAAGAATAGATTGGAGAACATGTTTGACCAAGGTACATTTGCCTGCAAAACTAAGGCATTTGCATTTCCTTCAGTTTTCAGTGAAAGCGACTTATCAAATCATGAAAAAGCTCCGACTTATTGCTACACAAAGTTTAGGTTGGCTCCTAAATAAATCCCCTGATGAGGAACTATCCTAATTTGAAAAATTCAAGCCAACAAAACTGAAATATAAACTTTACAATGATAAATTGACCGGAGTTCCCATGAGGGTATTTATCACACACAAGATTCGGACTACAATAGAAGCAAGAGAATGAAAGAGTTGAAAGTAAAAAATAAAATAAAATAAAATAAAATAAACTCTGATAACATCACCTATTTGTAGATGTTGAATGCATCTATTCCTAAAGGTTAAGACCATTCGAACAAGTGCCTTTATTCACACAGTTGTATCCTTTAGGATTTGAATTTGAATCAATTCTAACATCTTCATCTTGTGCGGGAAGGTTCTCCAACCAAGCAAGGTTTGCTTAGGTGTGAGAGAGTCCATCGAATTATGGTGTGATCATCTCTCATACCTTCATCTCCCACTTGATGATACTATAACAATGTGATAGAACCTGAGTTGGACATGTTTACCTTGGTACCAAAATGTTGGTAGCAGAATGTTGCCTCATGCCAACTTTCATCTATGAATTTAACTCATAGATTGACGTCCGATTGTGACCTGGCCATACATGCACACGTTTTTGCCACCAATTTGACCGCATCCGTACGAATGTGTTCTCTCACTGACAACACATTCCAGATGACTTCAATTTACTATATTTCAAGTAATGTGTGTGCCTGAAAATCAAATGGTGATTGGGTATGGACTGAACCCACACGTGAAAATTGTATGTCGTT